TGGGTCAGAATTTGTATTTTATTCACATTTTATAAGCCCCCAGATGATTCTTGGGCATCCTAGAATTTGAGACTCACGGGTGTAAATCGTTTTTGCAGAGCGCACGCAGGACAGCAGCGTAACGTATGGACCATCCTTCAGTCCAGTGGCTGATGGGTGGAGTTGCTCTGGACTGCTCTGATTCTTCCTAGAAAGTTAGTAGGCCGCTAGATTATGTAGAAAGGAGTGATTGAACCTGGCGTAGGTGATTAGCCCCGGGGCGTAATCTGTGGCATAGCAAGATCTCGCTTTGTTGCTGTCACTTGGCCTGTCATCCTTTCTGAGGAGACTTGGAATGGAAGAAAACCCACTGTACTCATTAATAAATGAAATGCTATTGTTGGGGTTGGGTGTGTGTGTGTGTGTGTGTGTTTGTGTGTCTGTCTCCGGTTGTGTACTTGTTTAGCATGTGCTATGAAGCAATTCTGTTGATAAAGTTTATCAGTTTTTTTTGGCTGGCTCAGGCTGCCTTAAGGGTGGGTCTTGTGCAGCACGTGGAACTGGGGATCAAACTGTGGTCCCCTGCGCCTGACTGAATTTGCCCAAGCAGGCGCTTTAAACAACTGAGCTAACCTGCTAACTCCCTGTCAGTGGTCTTACTAGGAATTTTTAGAGCATTTTTAGTCTTCTGCAGAATATAAGAATTTGAACAGTAGGCCTTGTAACCGTCAGTTAAGAGAATACATCATCTGCCAGCCTGCAAAGAAATTGTCAGAGGCCAGAGAGGGCGTGTGAAGGACTTCGGAGCCCGTTTGCAGGGGCTTGCCCTGGCCACTCTGCAGAAGTTCAGGGGCCAGTAAGAAAACAGTGATAACTGTGATTGAGTATGAGCCTTCAACAAATGAAGGGAGTCCCTGCTGATATTAAAGAAATTCATCACTGAAAGAGTAATGATACAAAATACTGAAAATTGGTCAAGGGAAGGAATTTGCCTCACTTTTGTTTAATTATTGTTTTCAGTAGTTGGACTGAAAATGAGTGACTTGGCATGCTAAGCAAGCGCTCTACCTCTGAGCTACCCCTCCAGCCCCTGTCTTGTCTTTTAAAAATTGAACAAATTCCAGTTGGTGAGACAAAACTAGTTACAGAGAATGCCAGCTACAACATGTAGAAGGAATCTGAAGGAGAAAGTCACCAGAGAAAGTCACTGGGCCATTTGTGGAATACTTAGTTGGTGCTGGTCATTGTGTATCTGGGCCTGGCCAAGATCCCAGCTGCCTGTATGAGAGGTACAGCGAAAGGACACAGTAAGAACCAGAGACAAAGTCAGTAATACAAGAAGGAGGGTGAGAGGTCAGTGCCTCAGGTTGGGCAGCAGAGACACTGAGCAACCACTGTTGGATGTCTACAGTGGTCGTTAGGATTCTAGGTCAGCCACAGGATTCTGTTATCCCAACCGATAACTTGGGATAACTCAAGAGATCCTGCCCTGGAGTGGTTGATCTAATATTATATGTAGGTAGGCTTATAATAGAATAGCTTTCAAAAATCTAAATATTAATTGCGCATTATTTTTGGCTTTAGGTGCTTACCCTAACAGCTAATGATAAGACAAGCGTTTCCTTCTCCTCCCTGCGGGGACAAGGAGTCATTTACAATGTCATTGTTTGGGACCCGCTCCTAAACACGTCTGCTGCTTACGTTCCTGCTCACACCTATGCTTGCAGATTTGAGGCGCTGGAAGGTGGCTGCTCTTCCCTTGGTGAGTACGTGAGTTTCATCTTTGCTGCAAAACTTTTCTTTGGTTTGGCAGATCTATTTCTAGAAGCAAAGAAGGAAGAAAGACGCCTTTTACATTTGACTGTTGTGCGCCCTTTCTCCGTAGGCCCTCAGAGCCCTAACACTGTGCGAGTGTTCTAAGCAGTGAGTATAGCAGTGACCAGAACCGCAAATACTTCTATATTAGTGAAAGAGATGAGACAGGCAAGATAAATTTATGAAGTATATAATACGTGAAAATCACATGAGCACTAAGAAGAAAAATAAGAGAAGGAGCATGTGGCCCTGAGAGGAAACTGAGGTGCGGCCCTGGAGAAGGCTTTGGGGCAGGATCTGCGGGCGGGCATGGGGTGGTGCCTGCCACACAGAGGAAATAGCTGGCACCACGCCCTGCTCCCAGCCTGCTGTGGCTCTGCAGGAGGGCAGCAAGAACAGTGGGCGGGGCAGGGCCAAGGTAGAGCTCAGTGGCACAAGTACCTATCTGCCTACCTGGCACATATGTATGTATATGTATATGTGTATATCAACAATATACATATATATCAGTACATGGGGGGCCTGGAACTAGCTCGGTTCTTTAAGTGGCTGCTTCCATAATGCTGGCAGCCTCAGGTTGCTGTAGTTCGATCCCCACAACACTCCAGCCAGCCAAAAGTGCCCTGCAGGCATTCAAGGAGCAAAAAAAAAAAAAAAAGAAAAAAAGAAAAGAAAAGAAAAAGTCCTTATAGGCCAAGCAATGGCTGTGACTCATCCACATGGCTGCACTGACAAAGGTTCTACAATCTGAGGTACAGGACCTCAAGATAAATCCTGAGGGCATTTCACTGACCTTCTCAGACCAAAAAGCTACAACTCTTGTTGCATAGGTCCTGCTTTACCTTGGTCTTATCCATCCAGTAGAAAAGTATGAAGACGAAATATAGGAAATAAAGCCATGTTGTTATGTTGAGCTGTGGGGGACTCAGGCCAATAATTTGTGACATTGCCAGTTAAACAGAAGACCCAATGCTATTATGGGCTACTGGACTCTTTTAGAATATTTTGCTGAGTTTACACACCTATAATATTCAATAACGGAACTTAGAAAAAATGGGGTATACCGATGAATGTTCATTTTGTATCTGTGTATTCAAAGTGGTTAGGATAGATATATAGTTGCATTCTCTTAATGAATAGAATGATTTGTTCTAATGTTGTTTGTAAATAGGATCACAAGTCCACTTCTTGTACAGCAATTAACCACTAAGAAGAATATATGCAGTGTATTATTTGTTGAAACTGTACTTCCGATTTGATTTGAAACTGTCTCATTGCTGTTTATCAATAAAACTTTGAAAAAAAAAATATATATACATGAATATATCTACACAAATGCCCCTTGACTTGTAGTGGGTCTACGTCTAACAAGCCAATTATAAAATGAAAATACCTTCTGTTGAAAACTCATTTGACTCACCCAGCTTACAGAATACCATACATTAGCCAAGCCCATATTAAATGTACTCATATTATAGTTGGGCAAAACCATTTAACACAAAGCCTAGCTTATATATAATGCAGTATGGAATATCTTATGTAATTTATTGTATATTATGTTGAAAATAGTGTGAAAATATTGAATATTGTGATAAACAGTGATTAGATGAGCTTTTACAATGTTGTAATGTTAAATAAAAATCCTAAAAAAGAACAGTGGGCGGAGGAAGACAAGAAGTCAAAGGCAGAGGTGGGGCAGGCAGCTCTGAGTGTAGCCTCGGAGGTCATAACGGGAACCTTCCCTAGCCTTTATTTCAAAGGAAGTGGAAAGGCACTGGAAGATTTTGAGCAAATGGTCCTGTGGTCTGATACACTTTGATGAGATTCCTGATCCTGACTGTTTTGCGAGAAAAGACAAGGGCAAGAGCAGAAATAGCAAGGGTGATTAGAAGTCACTGACCTGATCCAGGTGAGGGACAATGGTGATCGATAGAGAACCTGGCCCTGAAGGCATTGTGACATCTAAGTATGTGCTCCTGGGCTGTGCGGGTGCATCCTGAAAGACCTTGTCAGAAGAGATGCAACGATAACACAGAGAGGGCTGGCGAGATAGCCCGGCAGACTGAAGCGCCTGCTTAGGCACGCTTAGGCAAGCACTGGGACCGCAGTTCAATCCCCGGCACCACATACTGCGCGAGGGTGGGCTGAGCCTGCCAGAGTCCAGGCGTGGTGGCGCATGCCTGTAATCCCTGCTCTAGGAGGCTGAAAACAGGAGGATCACTATGAATCCGAGCTGTAGAGTGAGACCCTGCAACAACTAAATACATTAAAATAACAATAATAAAAAACAATAATAACCTTTTCATAATCTTCACCCTGATCTTATTAGTTAATGTGCTGTTTGCTTTTCATTCTTCCTGTGTACAGACACGTGCAGACATGTAATACTTTGTAATTCTGAACCAGATAAGAGATAAAAGAGCTTATAGTTTTGAGTATGTCTGTTTATTTCCTTACATAATAATAAGATAGTCAAAAATCACAAAACTAACATTGACACAGTACTACCACTTAATCTATAGATATGTTGTTCTTTTTTTAAAAAAAAATGTTTAGGACAGGGTCTACAGGGTCTCACTACGCAGATCCTGTTTTGAGCCTCCCAAGTGCTGGACGCACCACCACGTCCAGTCTCAGTCACTGTCTCAGTGTGCCCCGGGGCGGGGCTGGCATGGCATGCCGGGATCAAACCCAAGCCGCTGCATTCTGCCCAAGCAGGGGCTTCAGTCTGCTGAGCTATCTGGCTGCCCATGTCGTTCCATTATTAACGTCCTGTAGAAGCCAGAACAAGTTTGTTTTTTTTTTTCTTGTGCAAGATCCTGTTCAGGATTTCACATTGCTTTTAATTGATGTATTTCCTCACTCCCCTGTATCTGGAATAATTCTTCAGTCTATATTCGTCTTTTAAGACTTTGACTTTTTTTTTTTTTTTTTTAAGGAGTACAGGGTATGCACTGAATTTAGTGTTTCCTAGCATTTAAATTCATTTGTGTTTGTATAAAGATAAGAGACAGAGGGGCTGGAGAGATGGCTCAGTGGTCTAAAGCACCTACTTGGAACAAGCTTGGCAAAGCACAGGGACCACGGTTCGATCCCCCAGCACCACATGCCAGCCAGCCCTGTCTCCTGGTGGGCTGAGCTGGCCACACACACACACACACACACACACACACACACACAAAATAAATGTTAAAAAAAATTAAAAAATAAAAAGATAAGAGACAGAGGCTGAAGTCAGGTGGAGGCCTCTTTACCAGCTGGGCAAAGGATCTAAATAACAATAGTAGGGACATTTATTTATACTCTTGCAAAGTTAGTATCACAAGGTTGCCTGGTGACTAATAGCTGACATTGGCCAGGCAGGATAATTTTCTTTTTTTTTTTTTTTTTTTTTTTAATGTATTTAGTACAGGGTCCACAGGGTTTCACTACACAGATGGGACTCCGTAGTGATCCTGAAACACTGGCATGTTATCAGCCTCTCAAGCGCTGGGATTACAGATGCGCCCAGTCTCAGTTACCATCTCAGTGCAGCCTGGGGGCAGGGCTGGCACTGCATGCCAGGGATCGAACCCAGTCCCTGTGCCTCCCTAAGCAGGTGCTTTAGTCCACTGAGCTATCTGGCCGGCCCTTAGACAGGATACTTCTCTCAAGACTGAGGTAGATTGACTGCATTGGGCACTGTGGCTTTGTCCTGCCCTCACTCCTCTGCCCAGTTTCCAGCCTCAATCACTGCCAATAGGTTTGAAGGCAGCAGGAGAAAGTAGTTCAAGGAAGATGGAGTTGGAGTGATCAACACTGTCAGATACTGCACAGTGCTCAGCTAAGAGACTGAAACATAAGCACTGGCACCAGCACTAGGGAGAGCCTGGTTCTAGACCGTGCTGTTGCACTGGAGTGGTATATTTGTGTAGAATGAGCAGAAGGACAGAAATTGGAGAAGGATGTCAAGGGGTCCTGCTCTAAGAGGGATGCCTCTTAGTTGTTCTGGTGCCTTTGATTAGGGTTCTCTACCACTGATAGAGCTGTGTTCCAGTGTTTAAGAAAAGAAAAACTGATGGCGCTTATTGAAACACAGCCAAGAAGACTTTATTCAAGGGAAGGGCTGTTGCAATAGTCATAGGGACTGCTGCAAGGGGATTTTGCAATGGGGTGGAGAGAGTGCTTTGGGCTTCCGATGCAGCGTGGGAGCAGAGGGGCCAATATGGGGGGGATTACTCAGAGGGACCAGTGTGGATGATGCTGTCTAAACTAAGCTAACGAGATTCTGCTGAAGATAGGCTAGGGTGGGGAGACCTTCAGGATGTAGAGGAGGGAAACACAATCGGATAATGAGGGGTGATCAGATAACGGGGCAGGAGCTCTTGCTAATCTGGTAGATCAGATTTTGCTGAAACAGAGTTTTACATGGTTCAGGAGCCTGACTCATGTGTAGTCATGCAAAGATTCTGTCCTGCCCAGTCTTCAGATCCTTCAGAGGTGTAATGAAAGAGACCCAAACAGATATAAGCGTGTTTTTCTCATTTGTGGTACAGGGGGTTGAATTCAGGGTCTTTATACTGAGTTATAGCCCCAGCTTTCTTTCTTTTTCTTTTTCCATTTTTTTTTTTTTTTTTTTTTAACAGAGTCTTACTAAGTCATTAATTTGCCCAGGCTGGCCTCAAACATGAGATCCTCCCGGCTCAGCCTCCCGAGCGCTAGAATTATAGGTGTATGTCACCATGCCCAGCTTCCATGTTGCCTTCCGTCTTAGTCACTTTTTAAAAAAGTTTTTAAAAATCTTTATTGATTGATTTGGTACAAGGTCTCACCATGCAGCTCAGACTCGTGGTGATCCTCCTGTTTCAGCCTCCTAGCACTGGGATTATAGGCATGTGCCACCATACCTGGTTCCGGTGGCTGGCACGGCACTCCCAGGGTACAGGGGATGGTGCAGCATGCAGTACTGTGCATTGAACCCGGATGCTTTGCTTGCCAGGCAGGCGCTTAGACTGCCGAGCTATCTCTCCAACCCCTTAGTCACTTCCTAAGGACAAATACCTGGCGCCCACAGGATAAAGGAGGAAAGGTTTGTTTTGGCCCATGCTTCACTTGGCTGGCTTCAAGGCGAGATTCATGGCTGAGGGAAGCTGCCTTTGGCAGAGCAGAAGGGAAGCAGAGAGTACAGGGAGAATCAGAGAGGGACATAAATCCTTTCAGGTCAAACCTAGGTGACTCACATCTTCTGATCAGACATCCCCTCTTCACAGCGGTGAGTTGTAGGCCCCAGCCATCCAGTCACCATCTAAAAGCTCCATCCTAGGGCGGGCCAGATAGCTCAGTGGACTAAAGTGCCTGCCTAGGCAGACACAGGGCTGGGGGTTCGATCCCCAGCATGCTGTGCCGGCCCCACCCATGGGGCACGCTGAGAGGGCGATTGAGACTGGGCATGGTGGTTCGTGCCTGTGACCCGAGCACCTGGGAGGCTGAAAACAGGAGGATCAGTATGAGTCCAATCTGTATAGTAAGACCCTGTAGACCCTGCACTAAATACATAGAATCAATAAAAATACAAGCCCCATCCTTCGCACATGAGGCTTTGGGAGAACATCTAGATGTAGCAGTTGCACATTGAAATTAAAACTGTGGCCGCCGTGTCATCGTCACCTCTACTGAAGACACTCTAGCTTGGTCCTGTCCTCCTATTTCCTCCTATTTCATTCATTCCTTTGTCCTCATTGTCCCCCAAAGTGACCACCTGTTTTTTCACTTATGTTATTTCTCAATTGTACTTCTTCTGGAACCTTCTCTCCTCTCCAGTGTACTTCGGTATTTTTTCTTCTCTCTGCTTTCTGGGACTGTGATAGGGCGTCCCTGTCGCTGGTTACTGATAGGGTACTATATGGACTCCCTCTGTACTGTCTGGGATGAACGGCTGCCCCAGAGTGGTCTCTGCTGGGGTGGAGTACCTTGCTGTCTTGGTGATTGGACTTGCTGGAAATGTAGACTGCATTTTGAAATAATCACCCCACTCAACTCCATGTTTTAAATATAAACAGTAAGTCTTAGGATGATAATCAACTGTAGGTCTGAAGTAAACAGAATGTGTTGTTGCTATCATTCATTTAATATTTCACTGGGCTCCTGATTTCCGAAAGCTGATACATAGGCACATATTACACCTTGCAAAGTCTGATGTTGCATTTTTAAAATTTAATTATTTATTTTATTTTGTAGGGGTCTCATTATGCAGCTCAGACTCTTAGTGATCCTCCTGTCCCAGCCTCTCCAGTTCTGGGTTTACAGGCGGGTACCATCACGCTTAGACCACCGAGCTATCTCTCCAGCCCTGATGTTACATTTTGTAGCCCTTATTTAACTGTATGTCTTTGTGGGGCTTCCATCTGAGCTTTCTTTTGGGGGAGTGGGAGGTAGCTGGGGACAGAGCTCAGGGCTTTTACGCTCAGCTCTTTTCAATTTCTTGAGGCAGTGTCTCCGAGTTTCTAGGTTGTCTGGGGGTGGGGTGGGCTTGAACTTGTGATCCTTCTGTCTCAAGCTCCCAAGTTGCTGGGCTCACAGGTGCCACAGGTGGCCCACTGGGGCATTTTTCAGCCTTCTGATGTGTTTGTTTTACTGCGTCTTGTAACATGTCCCTGTGAGACTGTGTAGGTGTTTCTGCTCTTAGCTCAGGAATTATTCTTTTGTGCCTATCTCAAAGGCGATATGATAATGGTGAATTTAGTGAGTCTGTTTTTCTCTTGAGTTAAACCATATTTTGCCCAGCCTGGGCAATTTAACAACTTAGGGAGATCCTGTCACCAAATAAAAAATAAGAGGAGGCCTAGGGAAGGCGGTTCAGTGCAGAGGCCCTCGGTGCAAGCCCTGGTACCAAAAATGAAATGAAATGAAATAGCTGTATCTTTTGAGTCATGGCATTTAAAGTTTGTACCTACAAAGGTCGTGGAATTAGACCTTAGAGATTTCTGTCATCACCAAGCATGCTGTGTTTTAGTTTTTGAATTTAATGCCACATTTCCCCTAGAAGCAATATGTGTTTGTAAGACTGGAAGTAATTTGTAATTTAAAGTTTAATGTAAGTTCTTTGAATGTGAGATTGGATTTTTTTTTTTAAAGAAACTTCAGTGTGCCTCTGTGTATGCATTATTGAGTACTAGCAAATATTTTTATTTTCTTAGCACTAGCAATTTTAATTCATGGCTATGATCCTGTTGCTGCTGTCAACCCACTTACTTCTCTGTCTCCTTTGTCTCTCGGTTATCTTAAAGCAAATCCTTGGACTTCATTTTCAGTACATATTCATAAACATATTTGTATATGTCTTAACTAGTATGTCAGAAAGTATTTAGTAAATACTTAAATATATGTCACAAAGGTAGGTACGGAGATTGTTTTCATGGCCCAGTTATCAGGGACCCCTGCAGTGAGTCCTTGATCTCCTGCCTAGAGATAAGGCATAGGGTGGGAAGAAAGAGCAAGAGACAGATTAGAGGTGCGGGTGGTGATCTGGGGTGGCCAGTTGTTCTCCGGGAGCCAGAGGCCATGAGGAACCCACAACCTGGGTTATTATCCATTACACCGGAGTCAGGGGCAGTGGGTATTTCTGGGAACAATAATGGTGACTCTGGTAGACTATGAAAAATAAATCATTCTTGCAAGGACAAGGACGAGATGGGGAGCAATGAGGAAATGGTAGTTTCCCCAGATGCCTTATAGACCGCAGTAGGTCTTATCCTGCCCTGTGAACGCCACAGCAGTCATTAGCCCTAGAGATTCCAGCTGTGCCCACAAAAAAGCCCCAGAAGTTTCCACGTTCCAAGGGCAGGGCAAGGACAAGCCTGGGCATCCGCAGACTCAGTTTATAGTTCGTGGTTCCCAGAAGGTAAGCACTGTTTAAAAATATGTATAACCGGGGCTGGGGAGATAGCTCAGTGGAATAAGCACTTCCCCGGCAAGTGCAAGGGCCTGAGTTCAATTCCTGGTTCTGCCAAAAAAAAAAAAAGAACTTGAGCCCCCCCCCCCGAAAAAATACGTATAACCTCCCTATCATTAACACAATGTTCAACTAAAATATTGAAAATAATTCCTGAATTGCACTGAAATTAACAGCCGACATTTATAATTCCCCAGTCATCTCAGTTGTTTTCCAGTTTGATAAGGTTTCAGATGAGGTCTATGCATTGTAGTTAGTTGATATGTCTCATGAATCTGTAATTCACTGTCCCCCTTTTCCTTGCAGTTCACTGAAGAGGAAGCAATTGTTTTATGCCTTCTCTCCTTTCCCCTTCTCCTCTCTCCCCTCCCCTTTTTCTTTCCCTTCCTTGCTTCCTCTCTCTTCTTTCCCCTCCCTCCCTCCCTCCTTCCTTCCCTCTCTTCCTTGCTTTCTTGCTCTTGCTTACCCCCCACCCCAAGACTGTTAGAGGTACTATTATATATACTCCTGTCAGTAGCAGAGTAGTCACTGAACAAGAGAACAGTGAGGTATAATTTCCTGCATGACATTGGTCATCACCATGGTAATAGTCAACCTAACGTTATTTTCCTATTAGGTCTTATTTTCAGGGGGAAATGGGATGAACTACCTGCATCAATGAACTCATGAATGGGTGGCAAGAGTGTTTAGAAGATAAATTATACATGTGTGGAGTAAATGTCATTTCACTTTGCTTTTGTGGTGTTTTGTTAATGAAGTCCAAGGTGTCAATTGCATGTGTTACCCACTAAGTTTTTGTTGTTTTTTAGGAAGAGTATCTACCAAAGTGTTCTTCACTCTTTTTGCCCTGCTTGGGCTCTTCGTTTGTTTCTTTGGACACAGATTCTGGAAAACAGGTATCATGTTTGATGTCAATGGTAGTTAAGCTCTTTGTAGTCTTCTGTCTTATGTGCTGCCTGGGAATGTATTTATGGGAAATCTATGAAGAGAAAGCACGCTCACTCTCCACTGTCTTCATGGATTTGTGGCTGGAGTCTTTTGATAATTCTACAGAGTTGCTCCAGATTTTAATTTTCTTTTCTCTACAATGGAATGCAAACTTTTTTGGGGGGGGGTGGCTAAGGATTGAGTACAGTACCTTCACACTGAGCTACATCTTCAGCTTTTTAAATATATATTTGATTTTGAGACAGAATCTCACTAAGTTGCTAAGTTGCCCAGGTTGGGCTCAGACTCGTGATCATCCTGCCTCAGCCTCCCCGAGTGGCAGGATTATAGGTGTGAGGCATCATGGGTAGCTGTAACTGCCTCTTATTAAGGGAGGAATTTGGTTTGTGTAGCAAATGTCTTCATCTACTAGATGTGCTAGTCGGCTAATGATAGCTGAGATTAGAAGTCAGGGTATCTGCAGAAAAATACAGGTGAATTTGGTAATGGTGATGGACTTGATTGTGTATGAGTCAGGCCCCAGGGCTGGGCTATACAGTGAGCCTGAAGTACCAGCTCAGTCTGGGAGGTTCAGCTACCAAAGGGAACGTAAGAATCCACAGAGTGAGAGCCAGGATGTAGCTCAGCACCACAGCTCCTGCCTGGCAAGCATGGGGTCATGAGTTCAAGTCCCAGTACCAAAAAAAAAAAAAAAAAAAAAAATCCATTGCGTGAGACATAGATAGTGGAATATAAAACATGTCCCTGAGTTAGTTTCAGCATTTGGGCTGTCTTCTTCTTTTTTTTTTTTTTTTTTTTTTTTTGGCAGAATCGGGGATTGAACTCAGACCCTTGCACTTGCCAAACAAGTGCTTATTCTACTGAGCCATATCCCCAGCCCCTGGGCTGTCTTCTATGTGATGTTTTAAGTCACAGACATTCCTGGTTGAACAACCATGTTCCAGTCCCCCACTAGGTCATTAAGTGAATTGGCCACCAGAGGAGGAATTGTGTATAATCAATAGGCACAGTGCACTATTCAGATCAAAGATGTGGTCAAAGGAAGCTTGGCCATGTGATGACTTTGTTTTTATTTGACTAACTCTTACATGCAGTACTGTAATGCATAACAGAACATAAAACTATAGTACTGCAGTGTACAGTACAATCAGCAAAAAGTGCAGTAGTGTGTGAACAAAGTGTGCTGTACCAGAAGGGCACTGAGGATCTATAAACAAGATATACAGAACTAGGGGCCGGGGAGATGGCTCAGTGGAATAAGCGTTTCCCTGGCAAGCTCAAGGGCCTGAGTTCAATCCCCGGTTCTGCAAAAAAAATAAAAAAAAAAAGATACACAGAACTATAAAAAAAGGATGGGTTGTAATTCCAAATGGGGCCAGGGGAGGTCTTAGAGCAGCGTGCCTCAGTAGCATGTCCAGACAGTTATTAAACATGTAGGTCGTTAAACAAGGAATATCCGTACCTTAAAAAGGTCCTTACTGAGCTGAGCATTGAGGGTAGAGTGGACGTGATCCTGATCTAAAGAAGCTCCTTGTGCTGTGTCTCAGTTACTCTTTTCTCATTGCTGGGACAAATACCTGACACCCAAAATGAAGATAGCAAAGCAAAGGTTTATTTAGCTCACAGTTAGTGGATGATTCAGTCCGTACTCAGCTGGCTCCAAGGCAGAGTGGCAGAGGACTGACAGCAGACTTTCATGGCGGCAGCGAAGAGCAAGCGGAGCCAAGGGAGGAGCAGCAGCAAGGGTGGCTACTGAGAGCAAGTCTGTCCCCCTTAAGTTGCATCTGGCTTTCTGCCCCAGGCTGGGTGTAGCGCTCACACCTATGATCCCAGCAGCACTCACACCCATAATCCCAGCAGCACTCACACCCATAATCCCAGTGTATCATGAGTTAATCACAAACTCTGGAAGTCCCCACTCCATGACTGCATGAGGCTTTGAGGAGATAAGTAGACACAATCCATAACCAGGTGGCTATAACAAAGCATTTGAAATAGGAACTCCTTTTCTTCTGTTTGCACAATTTTCTTAGAGTATTGTGAGGAATATTTAATCTCTCAAAGTATAGAATGGTTCTAGAATAGAGAATTGTATTTTTTTATGTATTTAGTACAGGGTCTACAGGGTCTCATTACATAGATCAGACTCGTAGTGATCCTCCTGTTTTCAACCAAGAGCTGTAATCCTAACTGCTAGAATTACAGGAACGCTACCGTGCCCAGTCTCAATCGATGTCTTAGTATGCCCAGGGACGGGGTGGCACAGTACACCAGGGATTGAACCCAGGTCCCTGCGCTCTGCCTAAGAGAGCGCTTTAGTCCACTGAGCTATATGGCCATCCCTAGAATAGAAAATTTAATTACTCTGCTGTGGCTAAAATCGCAGGTACTACCAGTTGGTTTGGTTTTTCCTTTATGTTGACATGTGTTTTTATTTTGATATGTATTAGTTTACATGTATTAAAATTGAATACAACTATTATTAACTCAGCAGAACGAAATATGTAGAGCTGTGTTGCCCATAAGCAGGAGTAGGCTTATATCTAGGAAACAAAAGTATTTGTAGAGCCGGGGAGATAGCTCAGTAGAAGAAGCACTTGCCTGGCAAGTACAGGGTCCTGAGTTCAATCCCCAGAAATGCAAAAAAAAAAAAAAAAAAAAAAAAAAAGAAAAAAGATTGTAGTCTTGTATTTTATGGATCAAGACAAAAAGGCAATTCAAAAGAAATACCATCCTTGAATTCATGATACTTTTTTAAAAAAAAAATCTACCTTTTTTTTTTTTTGCTTTTATTTTTTAATTTTTATTTATTTTATTTTTTTGCGGAACTGAGGATTGAACTCAGGCCCTTGTGCTTGCCAGGTAAGTACTTACTCTGCTGAGCTATCTCCCAAGCCCTTGACTTTAGTGTCCGATTTCAAATGAGGCACAAGTGACAAAAGCACTATTTTAAAGTAGAAAATATAAATGTTAAAATGAGCTATGACATTAACAAGTAACCATTTAATAAATGAAATTGACCTGCCTACAGGTCAGGTTGGTCGGATACACTACATGATAGTGTGTCCCAGAGTTAATACTGTACTTGAATATTTTATCTATTTGATAGCAAATTTACTCCCAATAATTTCTAAATGTCATGTGCCATTTGATTGATTGATTAATTGATTGATTGTTTGTGGCCGGCTCAGCCCACCCTGGGGGCAGGGCTGGTGTGGCATGTGGTGCCGGGATGGAGCCACAGTCCCTGGGTGCTTGCCTAAGCTTGCCTAAGCAGGTGCTTTAGACTGCTGAGCTATCTCGCTGGCCCCTCACCTGCCTTTTAGGTAGTTATTTTTCCCCTTTGAATGTCATAATTTGCAAATTTTAGGAGCTACAGCATATATTTGCACTTTAGATATTTAAATTACATTGTAAAAAAGAGTACCTCACCAAGCTTGTTATTTTGTTTGTCTCTTTTCCTGCTGGTTTGCTGCCAGAATTATTCTTCATCGGCTTTATCTTCATGGGATTCTTCTTTTACATACTGATTACAAGACTGACGCTTCTGAAGTATGACGGTAAGCCCATGTGGTAGTTTAGGTGCGCACTGATCAAGCGTATTGCTGTACCTGTGTTCCACCTTTCCTTCCGCAGACTGACCCTTGCGTGCGACAGGTATCTGGAGATGTGTGTGAAATAACAGGCCACTGTTACTGGAGCTGGGTTCTTGGGTCCAAAAGTCAGAAAGATGAAACCACAGCCCAAGGAATACAGGCAACAGGGATGGCTTTTATGGAGCGTCCACCCACCCCGGCAAGAAGGGAGATACAGCTGTGACATAGACCAAGTCAGGTTGGCAGCCCCACAAAGGGAAAGTGGCAGCTTGTGTAGAAAAAGCTCCCCTAGAAGTTCATGCCCAGAGCATCCATGCAAATCAGGGATCCAGGCTTGCACAGAACCCGTCCCACCAGTGTCTGAGCTCCGGGGTCTGCTCAGGAAGGAGGGCGAGGCAGGTTTGCAGGTGGTCCTTGGACTGTGTAACGGTTGTGTTTTTAACTCCAGGGCTGCGTATGTGTGCTGGGTCCCCCATTATATCCTTGTTTGATTCTGCTAAGAAAGCACAAAACAGGCACAATCTGAACAGGGCCCCGTCGTGGCACTTGGCTTTTGCTGCCCTTTATGAGCAGTCCCCGACTGTCACTGCCTGTAGCATCTTTCTACAGCGCGTCTTTCCTACAGTGCTTGCTTGGCCTTCCTAGCTATGCAGGAAATTCCTTGGTACACAGGGAATGGAAGGTCATGATCATTATACACTTGTGGTCCAGCTATGTGATATATTGAAGATATGAAATGTACAAATAATAAAATTGTTGCATATTCTTTATTTTAAAACTAACACTGAGCCCTTAAGGCCTGTAATCCCAGCACTCTGGGAGGCTGAGACAGAGCTATAGCCCAGCCTGGCTAACTTAGTGCCCTAGCAAGACCCTGTCACAAAAATAAACAAATAAATAAAAGGAAATAAAAATAAAAAGGAGTGGGGCTGGGGACATAGTTCAGAGGCATAAGAACCTACCTGGAAAGCATAAGGACTCAAGTCCAATCCCTGCCCCCACATGCCGTGCTGTCTCAGCCCTGGATACCTAGGCACCCACTGTGCAGCCCTGGAACCTGACGTGGTGGCTCACGCCTATGATCTCAGCACTTGGGAGGTTGAGACAGGAGGATCTCTGTGAGTTTGAAACCAGCTTGAGGCCTACAAAAGGGAGCACAAGGCCAGCCTGAACTGCATAGCAAGACCTTGTCTCAAATAAATAAATGAATAAATAAATATAAATAAATAAATGAAGGGGCTGGAAAATGTAGCTTAGTTTAGGCTCTGAATTCAATCCCTACTACTAAAGAAAAAAACAAATATTCCCTTTCCCTTGTCCTGTCGCGTTTGTTTTCAGTTTTCTTTTCTTTTTCTTCTTTTCTTTTTGTCTACAGGGTGTTCAGGGTCTCACTACTAGATCAGACTCGTAGTGATCCGCCTGTCTACAGCCTCTCAAGAGCTGGGATTATAGGTGTGCGCCACCACGCCCAGTCTCAATTGCTACCTCAGCACACCCTGATAATGGGGCCAGCATGCAAGCCCAGGGATCAAACCCCTGGCCCCGTGTACCTGCTTTAATCTGCTGGGCTATTTGGCTGACCCTTCTTTTGTCTTTTTGAGACAGGGTCTCTCTTATGCAGTTCAGGCTGGTCTTGAGCTCACTTTGTAGCCCAGGCTGGCCTGGAACTCACAGTGATCCTCCTGCCTCAGCCTCCCGAGTGCTGGGATTATAGGCATGCACCACCATGCCCAACTTTATCTTGTCACATTTAACAGGGTTCTTGGCTCCCTTGTCCTCAGTTCTAATTTACCTGTTACCTCCCTCTGTACAGCTCGACTGATCCTGACAGCCACAGTGGGCAGTGTCGGTGGAATCTTCCTGGTGGCTGTCTGGTGGCGATTTGGGACACTTGCCCTGTGCATGCTGTGTGCTGGCCTTGTCCTGGGCTTCCTGGTCTCTGCGGCAACTTTCTTCACTCCTCTGGGTAGGCGACGTGTACCTGACTTTCTGTGCATTGATTCCTCATCTGGAGATTTTATTTTGAACTCTCTGGACTCACATCTTGCCTTGACCAGGGTGGCACTGCAGGTCTCCACCTTCTGAAGAAAGAGTTAAGGAAACTGGCACCTTTAGAGAGGCCAAAACAAAGGAGATCCCATCCCTCTGTTCTCAAAGGCATGCTGTGCTAGGGGCATTGCTGAGTGCTGCCTTCAAACCCCAGTATCAGAAAGGGCAAAACAACATACCAGCCAAGCATGGTTGTGCATGCCTAGAATCCCACCACTCACCTATAATCCCGGCACATGGTAGGCTGAGGCAGGAGGATCAGAGGATGGTTGGGAGTTCAAGACCAGCCTGCTACAAAGTGAATTCGTGGTCAGCATGAACTGCATAGCAAGACCCTGTCTCAAAAAGACAAAACAAACAAAATACTGATTGGAGATGCTGCCCTAACTGTGCTTAATCAAATGCTGCTTAAGTGGCTCCCCCCTTTGGGATAGCTCTTAGAGGATGAAGGGATGATTGGCTGGATTTGGAGTCTACTAATTAAGACGACATTCTTTTGCCAAACTGGGGATTTGATGCAGGACCTTCTCACTAAACAACTTCTCTGATCCTTTGGGTTTAGTTTTGAGACAAGGTCCTGCTAAATTGTCCAGACTGGGTTCAAACTCACCATCATCCTGCCTCAGCCTCCAAAGTGCTGGGATTACAGGTGTGCACCACTGTACCTACTTTTCATGAGTAGAATCAGGGGAACATATGATAACAGAAAAATACAGACTTGGTTCTAGTCCCAGAGATACTTTTTAGTGTTTTTTTT